CTTAGGTAGTGTGTGCAGTGGAAAGCTTTCCAGTTCACTTGTTCTCATTATCCATTTTCAATGCACTTATAAAATGACTAAAAAGGCTCTGCCCATGTTAAACCCAAATCCTCAATTCTGCTTCAGAGGCACAGCACACACGGTCTGCTTTTCCAAGTCTCACAGATTTATTCCAAGTCTCACAGACACCCTTGAGGACTGCTCCCTCATTTAAAATTGTCCTCTGACGGAAAGTATGTTTCATACAAGATAACTATTAGCAAGGGATAACAGACAACACATCTGTAGGTCAAAAGGGGTGAAGAAAAGAATATTTTTAGTTGGGAGTCATGGTTAAGGCTGCAACAGATGAGATTCCTGACAAGAAAACATGTACTTGAGTTCAGAATTGATTTCTGCTTTGCCAAGAGGGAAAGGCAGAGACTTACCGAGGTCAAGCTTACACTGTAATGGCCTGCTGGAGAATGCTTCCGCTGTCTTAGAAACGGCTTCAAGTATTGTTTACTCTTTTCATCAACTCTGTAATCAAAAATGCCCCAAACTTTGTATTAACTGTTGAAAATAAAAACAACAAATGCAAGACATCTAGAAACATTGTCATGAAATGCTTAGGAAGATGGCTCACAGGGAGAACATCCTTTTGTGAGCTCAGTTAACAGAGAAGTTTGGTCCAAAGGACAAGCCAAAAGCCAAAGAAAAGCCAGTGCCACAGCAGCTGGTGAACTGCTGCTGTTCAGAAGCTTTGCCCAGTGCTGAAACACATGCACAGCTGCTCGAGGTGAAGACAATCCTCCATCCAAGGGCTGTTTCTAGCAATGTCCCATCCCAAACACACATCACGTTCCACCATCATCACCTTGCACCTCTCTCAGGTCATTTCAGTCCCTCAGCAACAGGGATGATGGCTACAAGTTCCTCTAGCTCTGCTCCCATACCTGTAATTAAGGTTCCCAGGCAAAGGACCCATCCCAACTGCAGTGGGAGAAAAGTTCTGGTTGATGGGAGGGATAACTATGCCTGCATTCTTGACATAGTCCAAGCTGCTGCTGGTATCTTTGAGGTTGGTTTGAGAGCTTATTTTAAAAGGGTTGATCACACTGTCGTACAAGATGCTCAGGTTGGAGGATCGGTCTGCTCTCTCTGCACCAGCTTTCAAGTGCTTCGCCTTGAATAGCTTTGCATCTCTGCTCTTTGGCTCAATGCTGAAATCCTGTTTGGGAAGATAAGCATTGTCTTTCCCTTACAGTCATGCTTACAAAGTAGCTCAGAACAGTGCATGCAGGAATAAGAAGTCAAAAGCCTAAACCTGCATGATTCTGCAGGGATCTGATGGAGATGGAATTGGTTTTAGTAGAAAACCTCTGTTTTCCATCAAACAGAAGGAGTCTTGCCAGGGTTCCAGCACCCTCTGTAAATAAGTTACTTTAGAATAGGATCTGATGGAGGATAACCTATGTGATTTAGATAGGAAATGATGGAGGAAGAACAGCCATATCCCGCATCACTTCCAAATAAATCAAGTAAGAACTGAGCCCAGTGTTGCCTCAAAGTCGCTCTGAAGCCTCTCCTCCTTGGTATCTGGTTGAAAGGAAAATACGTTATTTTGGAGGCAGGACTTTAACACAGGTAAACAGCAGCATACAAGCATGTTTTTGTGATTCAACATGACTTAATGCTTCCCGAAGGATTCTCCCTTCAGCTCCGTATGTGCAATGTAGTTTACCTGTAAGGGACTGGCCCAATGGCCACTTGCAGACTGCTGAGCCAAGCACTAGAGCAACCTCATAGCTGTCAACTACGTAGTATCAACGGCACACAACTTCCACACAACAGCCCACAGGCTGCACTGTGCTGGGTGTCAGAGCTGTGGCGGCACAGGCACGGTTTATTGCTCTGCATTGGGTGACAAGGTCTTCAGTGCTGTTTAGGTTCAGAGTAGCCTCCAAAGGGGAGGCACAGCACACTTATCTAGTCTTCTTTTTTTTTTTAATTAAATGGACAGTTATGCTTATACTTCTGCTATGAACTTACACTGCTGCACATACTGATTTTAAAGCATGGGGAAAAAGTAATATTGGAAAACAAAGATGGACCAACCTGGACACCAACGATTTTTCTTTCTTCTAAGCTATCATCTTTGTCTCTTTTGCTGATTTTGGATTTTTTTTGTAATTGATGGTCTCCGGCATCTTTCTGAATCTTTAATTTAAGCTCCTGAGCAAATCTATATTCCATATAAGGGGGGGAAAAAAAAAGGGCTTCTGTTAATCTCAGTATCTTCATCAGCTGGTGTTCAGCCCAGGCTCTAATAGCTTTTTAAGTAACCAAACCAACCTTGCTTTTTTAACTAATGAGAAGCCAGCCAAAAATGATGTATCCATTAAAACAAAGAAAATCTTTCAAGCACATGCTTTTCACATGACAGCAATGAAGGTGTTTGTGTCCCAGTCTGGTGCAGATGCAGACAGTGAACACAGTGTAAGACTAAACTACCCAATATGGTGTGCTGCTGGGTGTGCACACTGTTGAATTAGTGTCATGACCAGATAATGAGGCAAACGTGCCGCTGCACTGTGTCCCCTTTTGACTGTTCTCCTATTTCCAGAAAGGCTAAACCCAAACAAAACCAAGACATCCAACGGCTGTCAGCTCTGCAAAGCCAGCATGCAATCTTTTAAGTGCGGCTGCTTAACCTCCTTCTAATATTAGCCTGCTTTGAGCAAGAAAGGAACTGTTTACCTTTCAGCAAATCCATCCTTGTTGAAGAAATCGCACTCCAAGAGTTCAGCACAAGATGGTCTTTTGTCTGGGTCAATCTGCAAACACTTCTGTCAAAGCAAGGTAAACATGAGAAGGCAAATACATTAGAAATGAAACAAAGACTTTAACATTTCTGAGTGAAAAGGCAAGAAAAATGCTTCAATCTCTCCCCTCTACAGCCTGCTATACTGAAATGAGCACAAGGGACACCACTGCCAAAAACGTTCTGTGTTCGCTAATCACCAGGGCTCACAGACACTCACTACACAGATCACTCTGCTCTCAGTAAACCTCCCTAAACCTTTGTTGGGCTTAGGCTTTACAATCTCTTTTGACAATCAGCCATTTCAAATTCAGCCACATGGGTTTTAGGTTGTTTTAGTTACCCAGTTCCAGACTATATAGAAGTACAAAAAAACCCAAACCCCCAACTCTTTGCAAGGATTGTCCGGAGGCTATTCCGAAGTTACAGGCTTCCTAACTCCCACATAGCAGGCACATCCCTCCACCAGCAAGGGAACCAAGCATGCTTCCTTGCAGTGCCTCCACCAGCAGATAGAGGTAGGGTTGGCAGAAAACACTGTATCCACACAGCTCTGCTAGCGAGTAACAAGTAAGCTTCTGATCTGCAAAGCATCCACTTCGGTAGCAGATAAGGGGCAAAGCTTGTTGGGAGACTATTCAAAAGATCAACTGATGCTTTCAACACACCAGCCCTTCTTCACCTCTCAAATTTCCTTGGAAAACTTGATCAGTGGGGCACTAGATGCTACAAATCCTCCCTGGAGGATATGCACTGACCATTTTGGCTCTGGAGATGGCTGGCTTAGTCTCCCCAGTCACCCAGGACAGTTGCTGTTGAAACCTGTTGCAGCCCCCATTAAGCCACCAACTCAAGTAGTTGCTCATGCATGGGTAGTTGAGAGAAAGCCACTTTAAAAGCCCCAGCCCTTTCTGTGGGCTGTATTCAGCTCCCCAAGGACAAGTAAACAGAGAAACATTCATAGTAAACCACTAGTTAATTACCTTGGCTAAATCTAGCACTGCATCAGGGAGCTTGGGATAGCGTTTGTCCAGAGATTTGGCCTCCTTCACTTCAGGCAACCTCATGCCAGCAAAGAGGGGATTTTTATAGAGTAACTCTTGGTGTCTTGGAATTAAATTACCTGAAATCACACAAACAAAGCAACCATCATGGAAGAAATACAGAACAGTCTAGTGAAACATTTAAGAGGCTGAAACACTGGGTCAACACTACCCTTGAGGGCTATAGTCTGCCATGTACTCATAAATTCTTAGTTCCCCATTTGCAAAAGGTGCTAAGAGCACAAACTCTCAGAGACAGTTCAGCACAAACAGCCTTTCCCCCAACACCTTCCTTCCCCCCATCAAAATGTATCTGACCCCTCCATTAGTAAGCAGGCATGAGGATCCTGACAGACTGTTCTTACCCAGGCACTCAGTGATATGGTAGAGCTGGTCAATGTCTGAATCTCCTGGGAAAAGAGGCTCTCCTGTAAGCATTTCTGTTATCAGAGAGCCAATAGCCCACACATCCACAGCCCTGGAAAGAAAAAAACCAAGTAACACCCCAGCTAAGTTTAGGTAATACAGGGACATACTTAAATCTTCACAATCGTACTAAGAGACTTGTGAGCAATACAGTTTAAGCTCTGACCTGGTTTTGTGACAGTGGGGATCCCAGTAACAAAAATCTCATCCTCCCTCCCAAAACGTCTGTCTGAAATTGTTTGGAAGGACTTCCCTCCATAAGTCCAACTGCACAGCAGTCACAGCCTCCCCCAGTACCAGCACTGGCAACTGAAAAGCTCCTACAGACAACAGACCAGGAATGATGCCTTTTGAGTCAGGAAAGCGTAGCACTGGCAGGAGTTAGCTGCAGAGTAGGAGAATAAGAAGGAAGGCTTCAGTCTTTACAAGGGAAGGCTTCAACCTTTACAAGGGAATAATCAGGGGCAGAACAGCACATAATCACAGAATGGTTTGGTTTGGAAAGGACCTTAAGATCATTTAGTTCCAACCCTCTGCCACGGCAGGGACACCTCACACTAGACCATGTTGCCCAAGGCTCTGTCCAACCTGGCCTTGAACACTGCCAGGGATGGAGCATTCACAACTTCCTTGGGCAACCTGTTCCAGCCCTTTAACCTATCTGCCAAGCAACAGCCCCCTGCCTCCCCAAGAAACAGAGCAACCCCTCCATACACCCCACAACCCTTCTGCAGGCTCACGTGGCCATCTTACTTGCCATACTTGATGTCTCCCACCAGCAGCTCTGGAGCTCTGTACCATCGGGTTGCCACATAGTCTGTGTAAGCTTCCCCAGAAGCCGCTAAGGTCCGGGCAAATCCAAAGTCACAGAGTTTTACAACTCCTGACTGAGAAACTAATATGTTCTCTGGCTTAATATCCCGATGGATTATCTGCATGGAAATAAAACAACAAGTCAAGACAAATAAATTCCTCCTTTCTACACAGTAAATGGACTGGCTCACCAAAACCAGTAGCTTTCTCACATCCAGGTAGAAAAATCCTATTTTTGCAGGCACAGGAAACATGGAGTCTGTAAAATACAGCTACATTCATTCAGTCAATGAACAGCTGATGAACCCAGTGCATAGGTAAGCATAGAACCTCTCTTTATGTATCTCTATGCATATATTTGGCAGGTGTATTTACCATAGATATTTAAACAGGCACAATTTATTATGCTTGAAAATCTGGCCTTGACCACAAGTTTAAAAGCTATATGTATTGCAAAGGCCATGGGCATGTCCTGCAGTTAAACATGAAAAGTATTTTAGGCATTCATAAGAGAAACAGTTTCCTAAACGTATAAATAAATAAATGTGTATGTGTTTTATATATATATATAGTTACACAACTAGGATTAAATTGGCAAACCTGTTATAAATAGTTGAGAAGAAAAACTTAAAAATACTGAAGAGAAAAAGCAAGCCTACATGTTTACATAGACACTACCAGACTTCAGCTTTTGAAAGACAGATTCATAGAATCATAGAATGGTTTGGGTTGGAAAGGACCTTAAGAACATCTAGTTGCAACCCCCTGCCATGGGGAGGGACACCTCACACTAGACCACGTTGCCCAAGGCTCTGTCCAGCCTGGCCTTGAACACTGCCAGGGATGGAGCATTCACCACTTCTTTCTTGGGCAACCTGTGCCAGTGCCTCACCACCTTCACAGTAAAGAGCTTCTTCCTTATACCTAACTTGAACTTCCCCTGTTTCAGTTTAAACCCATCACCCCTTGTCCTATCACTACAATCCCTGATGAAGAGTCCCTCTCCACTACCCTTGTAGTCCCCCTTCAGATATCGGAAGGCTGCTCTGAGGTCTCCACGCTTCTCCAGGCTGAACAGCCCCAGCCTTCTCCCTCTGCAAGATAAACCAACCCATGATAAGATGTCACCCAAGTATTGAATCCCCATGGACTTCTGGACTCTTCCTTTGAAACACTCTCACAAATCAATGAGAGACAGACTGATAGATTAACTGACATCAAGCTCAGACATCTTATATGAAATTCAGTCCTGCCATCCTGCCCTGACTCTTCTCTTTCAGCCAAAGCTCTATTTCTCTAAGTTTTAATATATATTAAAATGATACACTTCTGTATCTATTCATTCAAGGTAACCTGCAGAGCTGACTTTTGTGCATACTTACGTTATGACTGTGGCAAAATGCTGTTCCTCTCATTATCTGAAATAAGTATTTTCGAACCCTGTTGTAGTCCAGTCCATTGGGAAATGCCTCCAGGTCATCAAGCACTGTGTGGTCCACAAATTCAAACACCAGGTACCACCGCTTCTTCTTTTTACACACTTCCAGCAGGTTCACGAGATTCTCGTGCCTGAGTTGCTGTTATAAAACAGGAAATATTTTGTGAGAGCTTGACAGCATGTAATGGGTAAACTGCGGCCAGATACTTTTAACTGCGACCCAGCCACTGTACTGCCCTGGAATGCTCTTCTCCTCATGGCACTCACATCCATTTTTTTCTTAAAATCAAGCTCATTGATATTTTAGAATACTATTTTGCCTATTTTATTTTTTAAACATTATCTGGAGGATTCCCACCGCCTTGTATACACAGACACCGGGGTTTGTAACCTAAAAATAAATAGAACACTGACTAAGGACTTTTCTTCTTAATGGGGATGCTTAAAATACACTGTTCTGTTGTTGGAACACCTCACATGTTCCGCTTCTCACAATAATCTCCTCACGCAAGAGGTGACACTATCTTACATCCCGATCTTGACAAGCTTTAGAGCAAGCTTACGTTCCACATGAGAGAAATCTTGAGGAAGTTAAAAAGAATTCCAGAGGAGCATGTGATGAACACATGAGAGACAGCAGGCACCTAATGACATCTCCCCCAAAGACTTGGTGTGGCAAAGGAAAATCCAGAGCTCCCCAGCCTGGCAGGAAAGACAAAGCAGGCTGGTTTGTACTGGGAAGCTCAGCATGCTGGCCAGTATGTCTCTGACCACTTCAAGAAGAACAACAGGACAATTAAACATGAGCAGCGAGCCACAGAGACTCCTTGCTTGTTCCCTGGTTGTGCTTACAAACAACTCAAGCAGCAATAAACACAGCTTGTTCCCCTAACGTTGGCTGTATCTGTGCATCAAACCACTTGAGAAAAGATTCTCATCAAGGTGATGGAAAAACCCTATGCTATCTTGCCTGCTCCTTCAGGCTTCTCTTTTAAGCTCCTACCATACCCGAAGCACTTCTGTTGACACTGCCAGCTTAAACACATTCACAACAGCTAACATGTGCCAGAATACAAGCACATTTGAAGATGGATAAAAGATGGTTCAGCATTCTTTCCTGTGATACTGTTACAACAATTAAACAGCTTCTATTAAACTGTCTAGTGGATTCACAGGGAAAACTGACCAGCCAAGGACTTGAAGAGATTATTTTTTCTCCTATATTATGCAGAAGGGAAAACTGAAGATAGTGTAGAGAAAAAAATATGCATCTTAAATGAAAAGGAAAAAAAAGTAGCTGTATTTTCTAGTTATTTTGTCATCCCACTCTGACCAGACAAGAACCCACCTCCACTTCACTACACATTTCTAACAATGGTTTCATCACACACCACTTCAACAAAACAAATCATGCTACAATGTACAGTTACTTATTAGCTTGGGGCCCAGGAGGGAAATGGCACTAGAAGCTGCACCATAGCCCAGGGATGGCAACCAAGGAAGATACAGGAGGACTGCAGAGCACAGGGATGGGCAGGGAAGTGCTCTGCAGGGCAGAGGGACTGCCAGCCCCAAACCCCATAGGTTCACAGGAAGCACGCAAGTGAAGAAACTCCAGAAAGATTAAACCTCTAGGTGTTTATCTGTACTGGCAGAGGCCACATTACTGAGTTATGTGAATACTGAGTATGTAAATGTTCCCCTTGTTAAGCTTAAGCTCCCATTTATGCAGGAAAACAAGTTAATTCCCAGCACACCTGGAAGGTGGTACATGCTTTGACTCAGTAACTGAGTCAAACACCTCAGGTACAATCCACACTCACACAGATCCACTTTGACAGAGTCTGAGGGGACAATGCTTGGAGCTGCTGGCTGTGTGTCGAGCTCCAGCACATACATTTCCATTAACTCTAAGGGTCTGTGGCTCTTAATAAGAAGAAAGAACCTCTTTTCATAAGAAGGACATGGAGCTGTTGGAGCAAGTCCAGAGGAGGCCATGAGGATGATCAGGGGCTGGAGCACCTCCCATATGAAGACAGGCTGAGAAAACTGAGGGTGTTCAGCCTGGAGAAGAGAAGCTGTGTGGAGACCTCAGAGCAGCCTTCCAGTATCTGAAGGGGGCCTATAAGGATGACAGAGAGGGACTTTTCAGCAGGTACTGTAATGATAGGACAAGGGGTGATGGGTTTAAACTGAAATGGGAAGTTCAGGTTAGATCTAAGGAAGAAGTTCTTCATTATGAGGGTGGTGTGGCACTGGCACAGGTTGCCCAGAGAAGCTGTGGCTGCCCCATCCCTGGCAATGCTCAAGGCCAGGGTGGATTGGACTTGGAGCAACCTGGTCTAGTGGAAGGGGTCCCTGCCCATTGCAGGGGGCTGGAACTGGATGAGCTTTAAGGACCTTGCCAGCCTGAATGTGTTCCAACTGTAAGAAGACTTTCCTTCGTTGCTTCACCAGACACATCCCCTTTGTCTCAACATTTAAAACCATGTGCCCAGGCCCAAAGACAGCACTCCTCTGTGCATACCTCCTGTGGGACAAGGGGAGAAGGAAAACACTGCGACTACTGCTAGGGGTTACTATTTACCACTTGCTAGAGGTGGCAAACACAGGATAGTGGCATAAGAGGAAGCAGAAGAACTGACGTATGTCCCAGCAACGAATGCCACCCTTCATCCTTAGCATTCATGAAGGAATGCAGCAGGAAAAAAACTTGCAGGGAGACAGTTTAGGAGCTGGCAAAAGCTTCTGTAGAAAGAATAAAGTCAAGACAGAAAACGGAAAGGCTGTATGACAAAACACTAAAGAGCACACACACAGAGAACCCAGTTCTGTGGGTACTTTCCTAGACAGAGTACATGGAGCCCACCAAGGGAAATACCTTTAACAAAACAACCCATGCAACAAGGCTACACCGCATAATGCTGCTGGTAAGAAGCCAACAGGCTGAAGGATGACTGAACATTTAGGTGAGTTATAAAGCATCCACAAGTGATACCAGGCAAATCATGTACTCAAACAGGAAAGCTACATTAAGCCAGCTGGATAGGTAAGGTTCAGGGTGTTTGATACCTGTCCTCCTCCTCCTCTAGCCTCTTGCTCGCAGTATAAGCCTGCTAGAAAAGTGCCATTAATAAAATAAAGGGGTTTTGTTGTTATTTTTTTTAATTCAAAATGCTTCCCAGGAGCATTTTTTCCATATCAGGTAACACCAGTACCCACTCTGGTTAGGTACACTGTCTCACATGAAGGTCACAATTCACCTGCAAGTTTTAGAAGTTCAGCATTTCTTTCATTTTCTGCAAATTCTCAGCAGCAAGGTATTAAAATTTAGTACACAACACAGGGGAACACAGTTACCACCTGGAGTCAACAGAGACCCTGTAGCTCCCTTCCACATAACTTTCCTTGCTGAATACAAGGCACATAAACAAGTCTGGTTTAGCCAGGCAAAGCCAGCACAGCACTCATCTGAGAGGAAAATCATCTCTACAAGGATGCAACTCAAAGGCTAAATGAAGCTAGCATGGCGTGGCTGCTCCCTGAAATACACAGGGCCCAACCAAGCCTCTTTTGGTTTGGACTTAGTTACGCTTTGGATACTGTGATCAGAAACAACTGTATTTCCTTTCAAGACTGATCCAATGGCTTAAATGTATACCTGTCCTATAACTTCACTGGATAAACACCACTCCTTAAAGGTCTATTTATTAAGAAGTCTCAAGAGGCAGTTTCTTCCCAAGAACCCATCAACTCCCTACAGGCAGATGTCACCCACACCACCAGCTCTCAACAACCACCACCGTTACTGCAAGAAAAGCCTCAAACCACAGACATGAGGTTACCATTCTGCTTGAAGGTGACATTTGCTCTCTCCAAGGTATTTAAACACCTGACTAGATTCACAATACGCCTGAGCGACACAGACACCTTCCAGACAAAGAGCGACGAATTTAACCACAAAGCCATCAAAAAGCCATCATTTTGGCCACGCTTTGTGGCCCCCTGCTCACCTTCAGCAGCTTGATCTCCCTCACGGCGATCTTCCTCACCACCGCGTCGTCCTCGCTCTCCAAGAACTTCTTGATGGCAACGATCTGCCCGCTCTCCTTGTTTCTGCACTTGGCCACCACACCGTAGCTGCCTTCCCCCACGAGGCCCAGCACTTGGTACTTCTCCATGGACGCGGCTTTTCCCGCTCCGGAACC